TATTAACACATTCGCAATTTTAATCAGATTGTCGCGTCCGATTTAAAGTAAAGCGGCATTTTGCGGCAAAAAAAAAAGCGGACAGAGACACATTTTACGAATTCAGCTCAAACGGACGATGACATACTTTAAAGATCATACCTCTCTTAGGCGCGTATTTATTTTATTTCACGAGAAAAATAGTATTCCACTTAAGATCATCCCCTTAAATACCCAAAGGGTCTCTCGCTCCCAATGTTGGCGTAGCTCCTCTTTTTCCTCAGCAACACAGCAGCCTTTTATCCGCGTCTCTCCTCTCTTCTCATATTCCCCATCCGAGTCGTAAGCCGGATTTACGAGCTCGCCGCGTGTCTCACGAGAGACGAACGCTCCCGTCTTGTCGCGCGACGCTATCCGCTCGCGGGACGTTTTCCCGATCTGGTGCTCAACAAATCATCTTTCCGGAAATCTTCTTCTATTTCCGTGGATTATCGTCGCACGTCAAATAAACGAAAAAAAAATACCTTTTTGGTGCACATCGCTCGGTTTTAAATTTTATTTTACGCTCACCTGTCAATTTACGTGTAAATAAATAAATAAATGTTATAACGATCGGATAATTATTGCGTATACGTGAATTAAGCGAGCCGTAATTATTACTCTCTATTACGAGCGGTTAATCGTTACGAGATTCTGAATAATTTTGCGCTTATGTTTGCATGATTAAATTTTACGACTTCATTAACCGTCTCTTCAACGCACATCATAAAGTTTGTCGAATTGCAATTAATGTTCTAAAATTTCCAACTTTTTCTAGAACTCTAGGATCCGGAAATCAACGTGAATTGTGATTAATCTGAAATGCGAGAGACGGAAAGCCGCAGAAAAATGAGCGAGTGCGCGCGTGAGCGGATAAAAAGCTCGGAATTTTAATACCCTATGATATTTTCCAGCCGGCCTCTCTAATTATATAGCCGGCATCCGTTCCTATTGTCCTTTGCGTACCTTACATTTGCCCGCTTAGTTTTAATTAACCGCCTAATGCACCAACGAAATGTTAATTTTCTGCGGCATTAGTTTCCCTTAACCGTTGAATTTTCATCGTGCAACTCAGGTGTGCGCTAATTACATTACGTGCACATATTTCTGCTTAACTAGTTTATTGCTATTTTCGTGATCGAGCGAAAATGCAAATATCTCTTTGCATATTCCGCATTATGTTCAAGTTAAAATGAGAGTCTCGTTTTCACTCTCGGAAAACACATTTAGTAACAATTATCGGAAAAAGAGTCGATTATAAGTATATATAATCTTATCAACCTTTCTCGCCATAACATCGCCAATAATTTGACTAACTTTTTATTTTACTTTTAAAATTTCGTTTAACTTTCGTATTATGTAAAAAAAAATAAAGATAACGCGCACATACCGTATAGAAAATCGTAATATAACAGGACTTTAAATAAAGATAAAACGTAATGCAAATCAGGGCCGCGCGTTTAAGTAGAACGAGGGCCTCGGGAGCTGAAAGTCGATTGGAAACGAGAAAACTTTTTCGCCATTGTTGATCTACGTATTCCGCCCCCAGTCGGTTGTCGAAAGTTACGAATGCACGGATTTGCCCGGGGCTCGCGATTAAGTTCGATCTGTCCGCGGCAAAGAATCATTACGAAGCGCAACCGGCCTGATTTCATTTGCATTCTCAGGCTCGGCCGGAGCTTCGATATTAATTGGAAAAGCAATTTTATGCAACGCGACAACATTAAAAGGGACCGCCCGCGTTATTGAAATGCGCATTTCGACTCGATGTGCAATTTATCTCGAATAAAAAATGCCTTGATTTTTGGAGTCAACCAAAGACAGGTATTTTATGCAACATTTTGCAACTTTGTTGCACAATCGCGCAATATCATATTGATACGAGCGAGTTAAAAATTCTTTTTTATCTTTTCCCGAAAATGATTCTAGATGACTAACTGATAAAATGCGTTTAAAGAGGAACTGCCAGGATCGTCGCAGTGCGAAAAGAACGGTGCCGCTTTAAAGCGTCGTGAACATTAGTTTAATCGCTCTTTACGCGGTATACAAGCAGATGCGTAAAGATAAACGTTAAAGCGTAAGTTTAAAGAGGCTGATCGCAGCCACTTTAAAGTTCTTTTTTCACTTAGCGTGGCAAAGATAAAACATCTTCAGCCTTATAAAACACTATATTGCTACTATATATTATTACATTACTAAAATATTATAATATTTTATTATCGATATAATCGGACACTATATAACATTTTTAATAAATATTAACGTTATGGGCAAATAAAGGAGAGAGCACAGTGCTGAAAAAAATTCCCGTATATATCGAGTCATCCCGAGTGAATTTCATCTATTTCCCAATATATCGATTTCTCGTTGTTGCGAAAAGCTGCCTATCGCGCGAAGATAAAATTTCAAAGTGATACAATTAATCTCGGCGACAACGACGCCGAGTCGTGACTGGTGTATTTTCGTACGAAGAAATTCGATATTAAAAAAGCGAATGTACTTACAGGAGTGCGCGCCGAGCGACTGGTCCGATTTCCATAAATTCCCGCGGCGTGTATATCGAATGTGCATCGCGTAACAAACGTTAACTCGAAGGTACACAGGGCACGTTTCAACGTTGCCTCCTATATTGCTGTCATAAATCTAACAAGGCGGCCCGACATTAACCCACCGAACGCCTATACTTCCGACCGCGACACCGATTCGACCTTCACGTCCGATAAAACAGCTGTCCATACACTCCCTCGTATTATTTACACCGATTTAATGAACCGCGTCGGAGCACCGACAAATCCGCGTCTCTGGAAAGTCAACTCGTAAAACTTTTTCCACGACGTTGTCGCGGTGCAAGTAGGTACTCGTTTATCCGTATTTCACATGTGACACCTTCGTATTAGAAATAACTGCTGCCAAATATTTCTTTTTATCGCACAGGGCAGATATTTTACTATATATTTATTATTGTTCTGTTTCATATTTATATAGTTATATATAGTTGCGAAAAGTGAAAAATAGATTTATTCTATTTTAAATACGGGATATAGGTATGTCACGCATTATATTTTGTAAAAAAATCATTGGCTATTTGCATTTGTAATATTAACGGTGTTACAGTACTTTTACAGTCAATTTTGTAGATTGAAAAGTCAATATCTTCATAAGCTATCGGATCCGTTATCCATCGCGTTCGAAAATAGGTGCATTTTTCAATATCATCCTCGATAAACATGTTTGCCTTACTATTCAACGAGTTACGAGAAATACACCGCGTCAGTAATAGAGATTTTTACAGCACGATCAAATATGTTCGCCGCAGCGAAAACAACGTACGAACTCTCGCGCGCTGCAAACGCCGGAAATATTGTTCATATTGATTTAGTAAACCACGTCGATCTCATCGCTACGGAAACGGCGACGTTGAACGGTAAAATAATTTGGAAAAATATTCCGAATGAAATTTTCTTCCTTCCACAAAATCGAGAATTACGATGCAAAACAGCCCATCTTTTTCCGTGTACAAAACTACATTTTTTTTCTGCATTCGGCGAAACATCGTGAAATTCATTAACATCACATTGCACGTTTGACGGCAAAACGTTGCGTACCTCACCGAGAGAAAAACATTTGCCAATCTGCAGTTTTCCTCACTCGATTCTGCATCGACGCGATCGCACAAGCTAGTGAACCATCGAGTTTCGAGAAATAAATCTCGATGTTGCCGAGATTCGTCGTGGATCAGTAGAGTGGAAAATTGGACTACGTCACCGTGTTTGGTTCACGACAACGTTTCTTGCTTTTAATATTCAATAAACAAGAAATTTGTACTCTGTCACGAGATATTTTCGCGCAATTTCTGCCATTTGTTTTGCGGTTGGTGAGTTGCACGACAATACGTGGCAAAACGTAGATTTTTAACTTGTATTTTAAATTAGATATTAATATATCTCGTAATATTATTAATATAATCATAACGAGAAGAAAAAATCGCACCATTATTCTATAAAAAAATAAAAACTTAATAAAAGCTGAAATACACAAGTTACTCACCCCAAAGATTGCAGTCGCCCAATGCCTTCTATTTCTTTCCTCCTCTCAGACAGAATTTATTGCACTTACAGAGTTTGTTGCATGCCACTGCATGACATTCTCGAATTACATGAACGCAAACTAATATTTTATTTCACGTGAAGATTGTATTTCATAATCAACGAATCAAAATTCCAACAATAATTTCATCGATCGTTTCGATACGCTTCGATGTCAGTATAATTATAATTATAATTATAATAAATGTTGAAAATAATCGCATTTTTCCGACGAAATGCGCAGTAGCAATCTTCTTATTCAAATGTCGTCTTATACGAATGACGACAGTTTACGGACAAGTACGTCGACAATAAAACGCTGATATACGGTGTATACACCGTGAGAAACCAAATACCTTCATATGACAACAATAATTTATAGTTGTCTAAATGTTAAAATATTTAACATTTTATAAATTTGCGCTGAATTCTTTCTATATTTATATTTTAAATTCGATATGTGAGATATCGCAAGTAAAGTCTTAAGATTTATTTTAAAAATAGAATTTCATTTATTTCGATCAGAAACTATTTATTATTATTACTTTATTACTATTTTATTCTTATTATACTATTATTAAATTAATTTGCTTGCTTTACACTATACCAAATTTTCAGTTTTTAAAAAGAATAATTTTATCGGACGTTAACATTATTGAATATTTATGTCAAATGTGTACTTTTGTTTGGAATGGAAATTTAAATAGTTATTCATTAATACTAATAATGATTATACTCTACAATAACAATTATATGAGTGCATTATTGTATAATATTATAATATCATGTATTCCATAATAATGTGTAATTATATTAATAATATAAATAGATAATAATTATTTTGCAAGTCTTCCGCGATAATGATATTTATCTAACTGAATACCTTTTTTGTTACAGAGTCATGACAGCTGGCAGGGACACGATAGTGATCAGGTAAGCGTTCAAAGTTTGGAAAAATCGCTTGCGAAAGTACAATTTGTATTAACACTTGTCAGCTTCTCTTTCCTGAAAACTATCTCTGAGCGCTTTTTCACACATACGATATTCCCTACCGACCGCGTTTGGCTTGCATCTTTCAGAAAGACACGCTGACTCTGTGAGATTCTTTCGCAATTTGCATGTTGATGTGCTAGTCTTGCGCAGAAATGTCACGTTTGTTCGTTCACCGAGCTCCGTGTGTTGCACAAAATTTTCCAGGCTCTGCGATAGAATGCAAATCGCATGCTCTTGTAATATACACCCCAATCTTTTCTTATCCGTTCTGATTTTCCTATACGCCTTTGCGCGACACGTTTGCAATAAATGTGTTCATTATTACCAAAGTGTGTCGAATATTGAAGGACAAAACTCGCATACTTTCTGTTGATTCTGTTTGAAAATTAAGTTAGCAACGCAATCTTATTATTTTTTTCGTGCAGACATAAAGATGTATATTTAATTCAATCTTGAACAAAAGTCCAGGTTATTTCTTCTAAATCTACACATATAAAAGATTTTATCAACGTCAATCTAAACATCTCAATAACATAAATCTAAAAAAAATAAGGAATGAAAAAAATATTTATTTTACATTCATATCGATCGCACATAGTTTCTCATGATTTTCCATTTCACAATTCGTCGTCGAACTATCCACTAGATAAAATTGAATTTATCAACTTGATGAACAATTAACGTTACAAATAATTAGTACGGCGGCGCAAATTTAATCACGATCGGAATAAATCTGAACCGACATGTAAAACGCGCGTGAATAGTTATAGACGTGAATAGACATATGAGGGATGGGAGGAGAGAGGAGAAAAGCGATTTGCATGACAGTGATGCATGTGATCTGCAGAGCTCTTATATATCGTCGTCTGGTTACGCTGTTATATAACATACGCTGCATCCCGCGTCGTTATTAAGGGCGCAGCTGTTTAATGACGTTGCGGCGCAACTTACGAAAATATTTGTCGGCACGAGAGACGAAGATATATATATATATATAAAAAGTCACGATATATAATATACATATATGAGACGTCCATCGATGCTGATTATCGATTTTCAATCGCAACTGCGTATCATCGCAGCTGCTACTGACGTCCTTCCGCTCGTCCATTGAGTTTCTCCATACAATATGCTCGCAGATGGATGCGGATTAATTAATTCCTTATTACATAGAAGTACCGTATCTGACGCCCGATCGCTTAATTAAACGCGATAATACTCCGTCGAGTTGCGACATACAGGGAAGATTTAATACGCGTTCTGTGGTGATACCCCTTTATTGTGTACACACAGGCTATTTAATATTGTGCAAAGTATTTTTTATTTTAATTATCAAAAGTTGGAATATGCAGAGGAAAAAAATGAATATGCATTTTACAATATTCTTATGATATATGCAGACTATTTGATAATCTAATGTAAAGTATATTTTGGTTTCGCTTCTCTTTTTAGCGAACCAAATGAAAAATAATTTTTCTCCAATTTTCACTCTCTCATCGCGATTTCTATCATTACAAATGTCAACAATTCATGTCGTTATTGCTCACATTTTTCACAACGTACAAACAAATATTATAAATGGATCGCCATGGCATGTCGGGCGCATTACTGGGAGGAGTTCCCCGAAGCATCCCCCTGATAATACAATATAGTCTGCGAAATGCCGTTGGAGAGAAATCTGAGGGCAGGCGAGACAATGGCGCGGCGTTGAATGTGATTTAGTGTGGCGTTTAATCGGATTTACCTTGGTGCATCTGCTGTGTCTTATGCCACCGGTGCTCCGGCACTGAGGATATTCAGGATGCTATCGCGATTGTCGTATGCCGAATTCGTCAAAAGATCTATACGCAATTCTGTCGCTACAAAATTTCAGGAGCTTCAATAAGCGATTAATACATCAATGAATTCGAATAGGAGATTTAGACATAGCGATGTACTCGTGGCTTTAAAAACACAATATATTTTTAACATATATTTCTTATTTATGTATAATGTCACAATATACAGTGAAATTCTCATTTCTTATTGGATAATTTTTTTCAATTAGTACATTACAATCATCTTATATATCTACTTTTCATGATATCTTCGTTACAATTATATTCCAATATAATTGTAATGAATAATATTGAAAATTAGACATACAAGATGAAGGAAAAAAAAACATAATTAATATGGAGTCTCGTTGGATGGAAAATTCTATCAATTTGTAGGGTTGAAATTCAATGTCTTGAATACACATATATCGTGGCTTTAAAAACACTATATATTTAACATATATTTCTTATTTATGTATAATGTCACAATATACAGTGAAATTCTCATTTCTTATTGGATAATTTTTTTCAATTAGTACATTACAATCATCTTATATATCTACTTTTCATGATATCTTCGTTACAATTATATTCCAATATAATTGTAATGAATAATATTGAAAATTAGACATACAAGATGAAGAAAAAAAAACATAATTAATATGGAGTCTCGTTGGATGGAAAATTCTATCGATTTGTAGGGTTGAAATTCAATGTCTTGAATACACATATATCGTGGCTTTAAAAACACTATATATTTAACATATATTTCTTATTTATGTATAATGTCACAATATACAGTGAAATTCTCATTTCTTATTGGATAATGTTTTTCAATTAGTACATTACAATCATCTTATATATCTACTTTTCATGATATATTCGTTACAATTATATTCCAATATAATTGTAATGAATAATATTGAAAATTAGACATACAAGATGAAGGAAAAAAAAACATAATTAATATGGAGTCTCGTTGGATGAAAAATTCTATCAATTTGTAGGGTTGAAATTCAATGTCTTGAATACACATATATGTCACTGTGCGACGAACGCGGTACATAAAATTGAATCTCGCTTCAAGAGTCCTTGCTATAGGCAAGACCCTTGCACTCTGGCGAACCGTGTTGTTTTTCAATGGCCTCTTCGAACCCTTCTGAAGAGAGGGAGAGTACTCTCCGGCCGGTCTTCTTGTTTCGGATATCCACAATACGCGTCATCCACCGCGTCATTCAATGCTCTCTCCGCGAGAAATTCTATTCTCTTTCCGAAAGTACAAAGCGCATCGCCCACGTCCTTTGTTGTCGTGCATCGACTTCATCTCGTCTGCCGATTCTCCCTTACTCTCCTTCCTTTTAACCCTACACAACTCTACGCTTTGTGGAAAAGTCTCTCAAAGGGACCGTCTCCCTTCTTCCGAGTCCTCTTTGTTTTCCCGCGAACCAAACCCTTCTTCGCAGCTTTTTCTCTCGCTTTTCTCGAATCACACTATCGCGCTCTAAATGCCACTGGCAAACTTCGGAGCTTATTGCCGGGGAATTTTGTTTCACGGCAGACGACGGCGACGGCTCAGACTCAACTGTAAATAGGATTTCGGATTTATCTATTTACGTGACGGTGATTGCACGACGCGAGACTTTTGTTGACGTAAGTTTCTAATCGGGGACATTTCGCGAGGCGGCTTTGCTTCGACCGAGGGAACTACTTCTTTCGCATTCCTAATAACGTTTCCACAATACGATCATTAATATCCAAGGCTTCGACTTCATTTTTCCTTTTGTTTCTCTCTTTGTCTCTCTCTCTGCTCTTTTTCATTCTTTCGCGTTACGAAACGGGGTGGGATCGTTAGTTTCGCCTAAGTTTCTTTTAAGTCTTTGGTTTTCTTTTTTTTCTCTCATTATTAGGACCGCGAGGAATCATGGCGGGACCATCAAGACCAGGCGGAATACATGAATCTCTACAAAAAACAAAAAAGAACGGAACACCGTCAGCAATACACGCGCTAATTATGTCGCGCGGTCTCTTCGGAGAACCACGACAATTTTGTCTTAGGAAATAAATGGAACTTAAACGATATATCTTATGGCTTTGGTACATACATTATGTTGCTCCTCTTCCTCCAGTACTTGTTTATCCAAAAATATAAAAAATTATAAAATATATTAATTAGTTGATTAGTATATATTAGACGTATACACAAAATATAGCAATTGCATTACATAATTTTCTATTTATTTCTTTTTGCACTTGATCTTCTCTCCGGTAACCATCCTTAAAAAATTATACTTTAACATGTATCATGCTTTTTTCTTCTGTTTTCTTTAATATATATATATATATGAGTTTGCTAATAATTTTAATATATTTAATTTATGATACGAATTTAATCGGTACTTCAACTAGATGAAAATCGACATACTTCGCCGCCCTGCTGATCGCAATCGTTTTAATCTAAATTGCTCCTAATTGCACAAGGTACATTAATTAAACATCAGTATCACTACGTAGTCGTGACGGCGCAATGCAATTGGCGAAGGTGTTGTATTTTGAGCATCGCTAAATCCCGCGGTGCATGAATAATGCACGCGCATCGCCGCGTATTAAAGTAAACGTTGTGATTTTACCGACACGACACGCTTTGCCAATTTGTGTAAAATTGTGCGTGTGTTTCGCGATTAATTTGTACATTTCGAATTAATTCAACCGCACATCACTATTGCGTCACTTTGTAATATTCTCTCGCCATCGGGTAGAATCGATCATCGCTATTTTATCAACTGAGCGCACGCACGTATATGGATCGTAAATTTCTTGTAGGTGTCACTTGCGGTTTTATTTGACAACATTCTGGTTTTTATGCAACAATTATACGTAATAAAGATTTTAAATTTAGACAGTTTTATACTCTAACGATAAGTCTTTTTAATTTTCTAACTGGACAAGAGTAATAGTAGTAAACTTGCAAACACATGTCATTATATGATAAAAAATATCGTAGAATTGTAAATATGAAAATAAATGCAAATTTCTTGCAGAACATAAATTGCTATAAGACTGAATAAAAGCACAACATTATTTCGGTACAAAATATTATTTACTAAAGTAAATTAAATTAAAACT